GGCAAAGTTGAACACACCTTATACCTCATTTTCTCTGCCCAGCGGGAGCGAGACCCATTTAAAGTTAAGTGCAACCAGAGTGCAGAGAACTTCGCAGCAAACTGCCAAGACAGTTGCTGGAAAAGCTAATTAAATAGCGGGGTATGGAGAACACTTGGCATTATCCACGAAAACTACTGCCGCAGAAATACCCTGGAGCTCAGGTAATGAAAAGAAAAAGGTACAGCTGCGTAACTCACCAACTAAGAATAACAGCAAAAATCAACGGCATTTAGATGGACCAAAGTCCTGCTGGAAGACTACACAGCAAAAGGTTCAATGCCTCATTTTAGAACGCAGCAAACTCTTGATTCAGAGGTACAATGGAGAAAACCTGAGTAGTGATTCCTCTGATAAAAAATCGGAATCCTGCTACCTAATAATACTTAAAGTGAGAGAGCAGTTAATAAATAGGCAGAAGGGGGGATAAGACATCCTCTGTGGGAGGAAGAGGAGTAACAACCGCTCCTGTCTGTCTGCTTTATCTGGCAGAGAAAGCTGGCTCGCCTCAGAACGAACGAAGCTGGCAAATGCGAGTGACAAGGATCTTGACGTGTGTGACAAGTTAATGATAGGAGGGACCGCTTACATTCATTTCGTGATCATGCTCCCTTAGAACTGTGTTCATTCTACAGTGCACGATCATTCAAAAAAAGAAAGAAAAAAAAAAAGAAACCTACAAACTCCCTATAAATTAAACCCACACATAATGACTCATCTCAGCCGTTCGTGGTTTCATCACTGAAACTGCCACTTAATAACTCAGAAATTATTTCTTCCTTCTCATGGCTAAGAAAGAAGGAAATCCTGTCATTTGCAATAATACAGATGGACCTTGAGGGCATCATGCTAAGTGAAGACATAGGAAGACAAATACTGTGTGATATACAAAAAAAGGAAAAAATATTTCTTTCTCCTTTTAGCATAAAACACCAATGACAAGAAAAAAGCCCCATTATTTTACTTCCTACTCAGGAACAGTATAATTCCCCAGCCACTGCTCAGTCATTCACAGAATTTTACTCTTCCTGTCCCAACAGCAGAACACACCAGTTCTCTGATCAAGAGTTTAGACATGGTCAAAACTCTTTGACCAGTTACACAATACTCTTTTTTATGGGCCAAAGGAAGAATCAGTTCAGGGTAATAGCTTAATGTTCATTTCAGGTTTCTGAAAGAATGATGCTGTCTGTGGACACTTCTGGTGGTTATAGCTGGGGGGACAGGGAAGATTACCACTGGCTTCCTGTGTATGGGCGCCAGAGATGCTGTTAAACACCCTGCAATGCAGCGGTCAGGCCCCCACCTCCCATGCAAACAATTGGTTGGTCCAAGGCCTCACCACTGCGAAGACTGGAAAACCCTGATTCGCACTACGATCCGCAAGCCTCTGTTTGTACTCTCGTCTCTGGTCTTGCACGTGTTACAGGCATACCCGCTAAGAACCCAATCAGACAGTGTGAACATTTCATAACACTGTTTTTATGAGAACAAAGTTACTTCAGGTAATGGTGTCCAAAGAATAACTGCGCTGACCTGAGTTAAGACTCACTGAACCATTTACTCAAGATTTACCAGGCACCACTCATGCAATTAGGCATGAAGCTAAGCAAAAGCGACAGTGTTAAAAAAACAGAGAGAATCTGATGACAGCAGGTTCGGCTCCTGCCTGGCTCAAAGCAGCGAGTAGGAAAAAAGAAGTGGGACTGGGAAGCCGGACCCGTCTAGTTCCAATCCCAGTGGCGGCTCTGTCACAGATGGCTGACTTCACTTCAATGCCACTCTCCCATTTCTGCGGTAGGTCAAACAGGGCCTCCCTTAAAGTGGGAGATAATGAAAAATAGATAAAGCACAAAGTATACCGCGCCTGGCACACAAGCAGTACTCCATAATTAATTCAATAGCAAATTTTAAAGTTTCTATAAAGTAAAGAGTAAGCTGGAAACTGCTAGTGTGCCCATAACACAGACGGCCACTGTAACTGCTGCTGTGACAACCTGAACTCAACTGTAGTGCAGCCGACTGCATGGCACATACATTCCTTCAAATTCTGGCTCCTCTCTCCATCTCCAGCCTTATCTCCCACCACCTACACCATCTGTAATGCAGCCCTATGTCCCCATAAGTGGGGACAGATCAAAAGATGAGATCTGATAGCAACAAAAACAGTGTCAAGCCAAAGGTTACTGTGAGAAAGGGAATTCTTCACCTGTAACTCTGGCAGCACACACAGGGGATGGGTGGGCGAGGGAGACAGGGAGGGTGGGGGGGACATGAACAATCACAGAAGGCTCCTCAGCCAGCAATCTGTGCTCCTGGTGATAGGAGTCACAGGGCCCAGATTTGTGATCAAGGCCTGGTTCTACTGCACACGTGACCTGCATCCAGTTACTGCAACTTACCGAGGCTGAGTCTCCTGATATGCAAAGTGAAATAAAACAAAATGAATGGGTTAATAAGCTTTAACATTCCTTCCACTCAAAATTCTGATTCAGGCTTTGAATATCTTTAAGATCAAAATGTTTCTTAATCCTCTGAAGGGAGGAGGATGAAATAAAAGGTTTTAGAGAAATGATGTGTCAAATTATAGGTTCCTAGGTTTAACAAGATCACTTAGTGAAACAGTCTTGAAATCTGTGCTTCGTGATTGCTCAAAACACTGACTGTAAGTGACACACAGAATTGTTCTTGCATTGCGGCAGCTTCCTAACGGGAATCCTTCTGGGGATTTGCTTTCCGAATAAGAGCCTACCGCTCCCCCCAAATCACTACAACTGAGCTACTATTACCATTCGTGAGACAACGCCATGGCTTAGCCCCCGAGGGTATTCTATGTTCTCCTGGATTCCGCTTATCACCAAGAGCACCAATATTCCAAATAAGTAACAAAATAGCAATAGTAGAACAATTCTCTGACTTGGAGCAAAGGTCACTTTCAGAATTATAGAGTCCCGAGAGGCACTAGCAACCACCTCCAACACTCACTTTATGGAAAAGCATTACCTTTACTTCACTAAACCCTTCAGGATGAACTGGTTCAGTTTGTAAGAGTCTCTTAACTCATTTGACATTAAAAAAAGAAAACGTTACCTTATTTAGAGAGGATTTTTTTCCTTAAAAATGTCCCTAAAGAAAGTAATAATTTTGCTATCTCTGCTTATGTACTTAACATGCTGGAAGTGTCTTCTACACACAAAATTCTTAAAGTACCACTGTCCACTGAGCTGTCCCCGAAATTCTGCCCTCAAAAAAGATGAGAAAAGACAAGATGAGCACTACTGCTGTCACAGGGCACCACCCATTAGCACCACGCTCTTATGCAATCACAGAAACAGGACCATAATAAGTAGTAACAACAATAATGACAAATAACAAACCTTTCACTTGCCTTCCAGTTGTGTTGTGAAATCTGTATTCTTAACTCTGCCAAGTACAATATGGCTCGCCCTTACGTTAAGTTGCACTGCAAACCATACATTTCAAAGGAAACAAGTTTTCTACAACCACTCTATGAACATAACTAAAAATGTGCTTAATTTCATAGGACTTATACTGACATTCTACCACTAAATCCTGTAACTTTCAAGAGTAGGTGTTCACGCCCTGCAGTTTGCTTTCTTACAAAGTAAGAGATTAGCATAGTGTTCAACACAATTGTTTACTGATAACGTCAATATGAATTTAGGACTAAACTGACAGTAATCAATAATAACCCTCCGATCCAGGGGAATAACATATAAAGCACTGACATATTGACTGGATACATCCCAGAACAAGAGTGAAGGACACACAGTACTGTATAAAACCCGCCTCACCTACACACATTTGAGGAGTTAGGATTAATCTTTGTATCGAGATTATTTACAGATTTCCACGGCATTACATAAACCTTTCTAGTATCAGGAAGTAACTCCACTTTACCCACCACTAAATAAGACATGCATCTGAGGCTGACCTGGAAATCCAGGGTCCCATATGTCTACCAAAATAAGGACAGTTAGGAGTTATGAATTCTAAGGAATATGCTCTATGTTAGGAACATACGGACAAATATTTAAAGATTCTACAGCACAGAACACTTACTCAACAAGAGATCTACTTGAAAAGACTCAAATCCATTATAATGATGCTTTCTCTCCATCCAAGATCAGGGTGGATCCATATGGGCCACTGAGTTTAAAGTCATATTGTGATTCTCTGGGTCTTTTTAAAATGGGTCACGGGTAGTAGTGTCCAAAATGCCTCCCACATCCAGTGATTTCCAAACTTTACTACATATGGAGATTCCGGGGCTCAAACTCCAAATCTTATTCGAAGTGTCTTGTGAGGAGCCCTCAACCGGCATTTGTAATGACCTGCCAGGTGAATCTGAACTAGGTGATCCAACACCCCCCACCCCCTGGAACTTCTAACCCCAACAAGTTCCCAAAAGAACATAAACTTCGGCCAAACCGACGATTTACAGACAGCGAACAAGTGAAGGATGCGAAGACTTGGGTTCCCGCTGGGAAGGACCCTGCACAGGTCCCGTACACCAGGCTGGTGCATCCCCCCCCAGGGCTGGCCCTCAAGGAAGTGACAAGGTGATGGCGATGGGGCCGCGTAATTTTCGTTTTCCCATACAGTCCCACCATGCTCTAAAGAGAGATTGGGGCAAGAGCTTGGACTTGGAGGTCCCTGAGGTCTAGGTTACAAGTTACGCCCCTAGTATCCCAGCATCCGAAACGCTCCAGGCTCAGTTTCCCGGTCGGTGCCACGGGCTCTAATCACCGCCCCCTGGGAAGGCTAAGCCGAAGCGAAACTAACTCGGCAGGTCGCGGGCACTTCCTGGCTCCCCCCGGTTCCGATCGGCTTCCCGGTCGCCCCGGCGGACGACCCCCCGCCCCACCCCCGGCTGCGCGCGCCCGGGGCCTCAGCCGCTCAACGCCCCCCACCCGCCCGGACCCCCTCCGGCCACTCACGGGTAGGCATGGTGACCCCCAGCCCCGACCGCCGCCGCTCCGAGGCTCAGCCGGGCCGCGCAGGACGCGCCGACCGTAGCATAACGCGCCAGCGCCGAGCCGCGGCGGACCGGACGTGGCGAGGGGCGAAGGGCGAAGGGAACGGGCGCCGACCGGCGGTTCGGGCTACGGAGCGCGCGACAGCTGTCTGGGCTGGCCCAGCTCCGCGCCCGACGTTGCGGTGGCCGTCCTGACGCCCTGACGTCAGCACGTCGCCGACGTCCAGGCCCCGCCCGGGAGCGGTCACCTTCGGGCGTGGGGCTTGTGCGGCGCTGGACTGCAGTTGAAGCCCTTGGGGAGGGTGGCGCGTGGAACGCCTCCGGGCTTCGTTTTATTGTCAAACCCTAGTGATTTGTGCAATATTCGTTTCCGTGAATCCTCATTCGAGGTGCATGAGCAATAATTGTTTCTTACAGTGGCACCACTTTAAGGTGTTTGAGAGGGTAAGCGTGACTGCTTTCAGAGCGTGGGGTTTTTTTCTTTTATGAGCTATTGAACTTGCCCTGCGTTCTGTAGTCCCTGATAGCACTTTTGTTGTTGTTATTTATTTTATTTTTATTTTTTTGAGGCGCTCTGAGGTCATTTGGTATGATGGCCGCGCATTTTTGGAGAGGACAGAAAATGTCACATCTTCCTGCTCTACTGGGGACTTTCAGAGAGATTTTATGCCCCAGGAGTCAGTCTCCCCCAGAGAGGGCTGTCTGTCCACTCCATTTTTCTGGACTGAGTGTCATTAATAATTGATTTATCTAACAGTCACCCAACTAAGCGGACTCTTGCAGCCTAGGGCATTCAGCAAAGCCCACAGACTCTGTTGGAGGTGGGCAGCCTGCATAGAGGCAGAAGGAAGCCACGGAGGTCAGAAACTGCTCCTCAAACTACTTCAGGATTCATCTGTGCCTTGAATCACCAGGGTACCTGTTTAAAGGAGATTTGTAGGTCTGAAGCTAAACCTACAGAGTCACACTTGGGGATGATTCAAATACATATTTAAATTTGAGAACATTTGTCTTAGAAGGTTGCGCCCACATTCTGGTTAAAGAATGATACTGTGCAGTATTGAAAGGAAAAGAGAAAGATGAGAAAGCCAGGAAGGGCTTGGGGGCAATTCATCTTGAAGTAGACTGGGGACAAAAGCAGGGTTTAAATGAGCAAAGAGCTGGGAAGTTCTTAAAGAGGTTGGGAGAAGGTGGAGGACAAGTCAGAGTGAGTCACAGAAGCTGGTCAGAGGGGAGTGTCTTGCCAATGGTAAAGGCCAAACTACAAAGTACTTGACTAACAGTTACCCTCCAATATACATACTGTTGCCTATTTTTAGCATCTCTGAAATTTTAACTGCTCCCAGTTTTCTCCCCAAGTAGATTGGCTTCTTCTGTAGCACGTTTCCATGGGAACCCTAATTAAACTGTCCTAAGTGTTTATATTCCACAACTGGACTATATACTTTTCAGAAAGTAGAAAAACCCATTTTTCTTTTCACATTTATGTATTTCTGCCTGGCCCACAGTAAGAAGTTAGCACATATTAATAACTATATTTATTCCATGTCCAGGAAAACAACACAAGTAAAATAGAAAGTTAATGACTCTGCAGACAAGCTTGGAATTTGTCCTTTAAGAAGTCATTCTGGGTTCTTTATCTGAACAGCACCATTAAATCATCAGAAGCAGGGTTCTACAGAGTGGACAGCATGGAGGGAAGGCCTCAACACTGAGACAGAGGGGAGTCTTAGGTGCCTACTCTTGGTGGTGCTGTAGGAAAGGGAAGAGCTGAATCTTACTGCAGAATCTCCGAGATTCATGGGCTGCTACTTGGGAGCAAAAGCGAGGCATCTGTTAGTTATGTAACTCCAGGGTTAGAATAGGGAACTGATGGTGCCGGGAGGAGAGGGGTAGAAAGGAGCCCTGTTTTAGGGAGGGGTTATGAAGAGAAGAGGTGAATTTCTGTTGGACTTATTAAGCTTGAGGTGACATCCAAGGGAGGCATCCAAGGGAATAGACCTGGCCATACCAGGCTGAAGGTAGGCGGAGAAATCTCAGGGTGGGAGATTTTGGCATCTTTGGCCCAGGAACAGAAGCTGAAGCCAGGAAGCAGAGAAAGCCAACTGAGGGTGTGTGTGGAGCCACAGAGACAGTCAGAGTCAGAGGAGATCCAGAGGGCACAGTGCCCCGGAGCCAAGGGAGGGCATGACGTTAGTCAGAGAGATTCAGCTCCCGGAGGCCATGAGGTAGTGCGGCCCATACAGTTTGGCTCTTCTTCTCTTATTGTTTTAATTCCCTTAATCTTTTGGCTTTGTGTTGTTGCCAGAAATAAAATCAGCAGAGATTGTGAGGAAGGACAGCTGAAATACAGTAATAATAACATCATAATTGTTGAATCATACATACTACACCTAAGTGTTTTCCCAGGCTGGACACATAGGCTATGGGTAACACTGTTACCATACAGATGACCTTGACCCATATCTTCACCCAATCGATTTGTTCTGTGTCTCCCCCTGCACACCCCTTCCTCCATTTCCAAAAAGACTGGTTCAGCACCTTGGTTAGTCCTTGATCGAATAGTGTTTGCCTCTCCTGGACCACTTCTTCTGTACGCCCTTGCAAACGCATCCCCTCTGCACCAGTGCTCCACTCTTGAAGTTAAACTTGAACTGGTGGGAGCTGGACTTTGTCCATCTCCGTCACTCCTCCAACTGCCCAGCCCTTGTCCTTGCATCTCTGTGTGTGGCACACAGAGATGGGCCACCAGATCCCTTTTCCACAAAGGATGCCTGCTGCCAGAAAAACATCAATTAAAATGGCATTAGATCATTGTCAACATCCTATTAGGGTATTAGCTTTTAGTCCAAATTATCCGAAATAGCTCTGTTTCCAGTTTAGTCTAGTATTTGTTCCAATTTCTAAGTCAGGCACTGAGATGATTCACTTTTAATTAGTACACATTGTACTGTTCAAAGGTAATTATCAACGAATTTACAGTTGATAGGAAATAACTGTAAGAATATTTACTTCTCCCAAAAGTTTATTCCCAAAAGTTCATGATGCAACCTGATGCTCTCATTGCTTAGTTTCTCACTAAATGTATCAGTAATGTGCCCTTTCAGTTTCAGTCCATCCCATTTTATTTCTGCCATTCCTCAATAGTGACTTGGGCTGTCCAGGTCTTACCAAGCATAAAAAGCAGACTTTGGACTTGGAAACCGTGAGTTCGAATCCTGATTTCCCCTCGAACTGGCCTGTTGACAACCTTTGACCTCTCTAAACTTCATTTTCCTCAATTTCAGAATCCGGAGACATCCCCTTGTGTGGTAATGTTCCCCAAGTCTGTGCAAGGCTCTTCTCACACTGGGTTAACCTTTGGAACCACCAGGGAACCTTTAAAGAATATTTTTGGAGCAGGATCCCACTCCCAAGATTCTGATATAATTCGGTCTGCAGCGTGACCTGGGTTTGTACTTATTTTAAAAGCTCCTTTGGAGTTTCTTTGTGCAGCCAAGGTCAAGCTTCATTGCTTTAGGGAAGAAATGAAGGAAAAGGAAGCCCCAGGTCAGGGTGTCATAGCCCTCATTATGCCATTCCGGTTGCCCATTAAGCTCATGTGTTTTGACACTGCCACACTCTGAATTGTAGACTAATTTTTTCCACTCACACGCTAGCCGAAGGAGTTGGAAACACTCATTAAAACAAGTTAAAAGAATAAGCCTCTAATCCAAAAGATCATTGCCTAACCCTTTCTGTGCCAACTAGGCCACTGTGCAAGGCACAGTTTCCTTATCTTCCCCGGGAACCAAATGCCACAGTCTCCTGTGCTTTATAAAGAGAATTGCAAATGGGTAGAGACCAAATTCTGGGTTAACAAGGTTATTCGTTCTTGATTAAATCAAACAGCAGGAAACACTCTCTTAGAAACACTATCATTTTAAACAATTACAGGGAAGTATAATTTATCATTGTTATTTACTAGAATGCTAACATTTAACACGGGGTATAGTTAAAGCTGCTAAAAGAAGGGGAAGTTTTTCTAAACACAGCGGCACTCGTTAGTGAGGTCCTCCGAGACACTGCTGTGGCAAGTGGAATCGAACTCTACTTACTGCCGTTTAGCTTGTACATGTAAAATGAACTTAGTAAACCTTTTAGAGGAAGAGGAAGATAGAGAGGGAAGGAGAAAGAGAGAAGGGGAGAGAGAAACATAAAGGATATAAAAACAAGAGGCAAACACGGGTAAATCAAAGTATTAAAAGAAGCTCTTTGTGGTAGATGGGGGGAAAGACAGCCTCGTTTCTCCCCCTGGCTGTATGTACACACTTGCACTTGACTTTGTGATTCCTCCCAAAAGAGGTACAAGCTTTCTCCACTTAATGGGGGCTGACCTTACAACTTGCTTTGGCCAATGGGGCAGTGACCAACATTTTGCATGCAGAGACACAGGAGATGTGACAAAGCCTGGGCAGAGGCCCCAGTCACCCCAATCCTCTCACCACAAATGGGCCAGCCGCAGCTGACCCACCAGCTTCGCACATATTCAAGAGCGAGTCCAGCCACGGCCAGCGGAGACCCCGGCTGAGAGCGGCCCAGGTTGTCAACACACAGCAGTCTCTGGGTGGGCAGCCCGACACTTCCCAGAGGGACACTGGGGACACCATAGCCTAGATCAATGCGCCTCTTCATCCAGAATTCGAGCTGGAGATACGAGAAAGCTAGAAGTTGGAGCAGAAATGAACAGCCTACGAGAAGGTAAGGAAAGGGTGGCAAATGGACACGTAGAGCTGAGTAACAGGCCCTGTCTCATATGTGCCCTCAATTCTTATCAGAAGGAGTCACGAACAAGAATCTGTCATCGAGGAAAGTGAACTTCAGGGGGACAAGGGTGAGGGCTTCCAGGTCCGGCTTCCCTCTCCCTGGGAAGTTTTCCCCTCCGATGGTCAACCTCAGAGGATTTCAGATTCGCTTTTTTACGGAAGAAGTCAATCTTACTAATTTACAGAAGTCTTCAGTGGGAAAAGGGACAGGTCCCTGAGTGTGGTGATGAAGAATAACTAGAAACAGTAGAGAGAGCATCTTTGACCAAGTGTGTAGTTTATAAATAAAGGAAGAAACAAACTGAGGAGGAAAGAAGTTTATACAGATAGATATTTAACAGCAAAAAGGAGAGGAATGTAGTCTCCCAAAGAAGGGATTAGTTGGCCAAAGGA